AAAATTAATCTATGTTTGTAGGAAAAGGAGCATTGCTACAAGGCACAAAATATAAGTTCAAATTCATGGTTACTTGATAGTGGATGCTCAAGACACATTATCGGAGACAAGAGCCGGTTTATAGAGCTTAATGACAAAACTGGAGGAGTGGTAACCTTTGGTGACAACTCAAAAGGTTACATTAAAGGTATAGGTACTATAGGTAATACCTCTTCCATACAAATAGAAAAAATATTATATGCGAATGGGTTAAAGCATAATCTATTGAGTATTAGTCAATTATATGATAAATGATACAATGTCTTATTTGAAACAAATGGTTGTAAAGTCATTGACATTGTATCTAATCGAATTATGCTATTTGGTCATAGAATAGGAAACATATACATGGTGCATTTAGATACAATAAATATAACTAATTTGTGCCTAGTTGCTAAGGATGAACATGATAGTGTTATGGCATAGGAGACTAGGACATACAAGCATGAGATTTTACAAAGACTAATTCAAGGAGATTTAGTAAGAGGGTTTCCAAAGCTAAAATTTGACAAAGATAAAATCTGTGATGCATGTGCTTAAGGAAAAAACAAAAGAGCCTCCTTTAAATCCATTAATGATGTATCAACTAGTAGAGTATTACAATTGATTTATATAGATCTTTTTGGGCCAATTAGGACTACTAACTTGGGTGGAAAATAATATGCATTTGTCTTGGTAGATGACTATTCTAGATATACTTGGGTTCTATTCTTAAGTACTAAAGATGAAGCATTAGAAAATTTAATCACGTTTTCAAAAGTAATCCAAAAACGAAAAAGGTTACTTCATTTCTAGTGTTAGGAGCGATCATGGTACTGAATTTGAAAATCTTGGATTTATTGAGTTTTGTAATTCTAACAGAATTAGCCATAATTTTTCAGCACCTAGAACCCCTCAACAAAATGGAGTTGTTGAGAGGAAAAACAGAACTTTAGAAGAAATGGCTAGAACCATGCTTTGTGAAAACAATTTGCCAAAGTATTTTAGGGTGGAAGCCATAAATACCGCTTGTTATGTTATAAATCGAGTAATGATTAGGCCTATTTTAAAGAAAACTCCATATGAAATTTTCAAAAATAAAAGCCTAACATTAGCTATTTTCATCCATTTGGATGTAAATGTTTTGTTTTAAACAACGGTAAAGGCAATTTTGGCAAATTTGGTGCTAAAAGTGATGAAGACATTTTCTGGGTTATTACTTAAATTCTAAAGCTTATCGAGTATTTAATAAAATAAATTTAGTGGTAGAAGAGTCTATACATGTTGTTTTCGATGATAATCCCTTCCGAGGAAGGATTCTTGTGTTGATGATGATGTAGGTATTGTAAATACACATGACGTTGGAGAACCATCATCAAAGGAAGAAATGAAAGATGAGGAAACTCATGATGCTCTCTAGAATCCAACCATTGAAGAAAGGGAAGTCTCTTACCCAAGAGAATACAACTATGTCAAGGATGGTAAAATTATAGGTGATCCATGCAAAGGGGTAACAACTCAATCTTCTCTTAGAAATATATGTAATTATGTTGCATTTATCTCATGCATAGAGCCTAAGAATATTCAAGAAGCATTAAATGATGAAAATTGGATTATGGCTATGCAAAGAAGAGTTAAATCAATTTGAGAGAAGTAAAGTATGGCCATTAGTTGAAAGACCTAGTAATAAATCTACTGTAGGTACTAAATGGGTATTTAGGAATAATCTTGATGAAAGTGGTAATATAGTGATGAACAAACTCATGATGCTCTCTAGAATCCAACCATTGAAGAAAGGGAAGTCTCTTACCCAGAGAATACACTATGTCAAGGATGGTAAAATTATAGGTGATCCATGCAAAGGGGTAACAACTCAATCTTCTCTTAGAATATATGTAATTATGTTGCATTTATCTCATGCATAGAGCCTAAGAATATTCAAGAAGCATTAAATGATGAAAATTGGATTATGGCTATGCAAGAAGAGTTAAATCAATTTGAGAGAAGTAAAGTATGGCCATTAGTTGAAAGACCTAGTAATAAATCTACTGTAGGTACTAAATGGGTATTTAGGAATAATCTTGATGAAAGTGGTAATATAGTGATGAACAAGGCTTGAATTGTTGCTCAAGGATATACTCAAGAAGAGGGCATAGACTATGATGAAACATATTCTCCTGTAGCTAGGATGGAAGCAATAAGAATATTATTAGCATTTACATGTTTCAATGAATTTAAATTATATCAAATGGATGTTAAAAGTGCATTTTAAATGGATTTATAAAAGAAGAAGTGTATGTGGAACAACCTCTGGGTTTTGAAGATTTAAAATTTCCAAATCATGTTTTTAAATTGACAAAAGCTTTATATGGTTTAAAACAAGCTCCTAGAGCTTGGTATGAAAGATTGTCGAATTTTTTAATTGAAAAAGGTTTTTCAAAAGGAAGTTTGACACTAAATTGTTTTTATAGAGAAAAGATAAATATTTATTATTAGTTCAAATTTATGTTGATGATATAATATTTAGTTCTACTAATGATGCTCTTTGCCAAGAATTTTCTAAGCTAATGCAGAGTGAATTTGATATGAGCATGGTGGGGGAGCTTTCATTTTTCTTGGGGCTCCAAATCAAGCAAAGAAAAGATGACATCTTCATCAATCAAGCAAAATACGTCAAGGATATGCTCAAAAAGTTTGGATTGGAAAATGGCAAACCCCAAGCCACTCCAATGAGCTCATCTAAAATGATAGACAAAGATGAAGGAGGTAAATGTGTAAATGTTAAACTTTATAAGTCTATGATTGGCTCTTTGCTTTATCTAAATGCAAGTAGACCGGACATTATGTTCAGTGTTTGCTTATGTGCTAGATTTCAGTCATGCCCTAAATAATCACATCTAAAAGCCATTAAGAAAATCTTTAGATACCTTAAGGACACTCATAATTTAGAAAATTGGTATCCTAGAGACTCTAGCTTTAGCTTGCATGATTTCTCTGATGCGGATTATGGAGGATGTAAAATAAATAGGAAAAACACCTTCGATACTTGTCAATTCCTAGGAAATATGTTGATTTCATGGTTTTCAAAGGAAGAAAATAGTGTTGCATTATCTATCACTGAAGTGGAATACATTTCAGCTGGTAGTTGATGCGCACAAGTTTTATGGATAAAACAACAACTTTTATATTATGAAATTGATGTTGGTACTATACCTATCAAGTGTGACAATACTTGTGCTATTTGTGTCACTAAAAATCCCATCCAACACTCTAGAACTAAACACATTGAAATAAGACATCATTTTATTAGAGATCATGTCACTAAAGGAGATGTTGTTCTAGAATCTGTAAATACTTTACATCAAATAGCGGATATTTTTACAAAACCTTTAGATAAAGAAAGATTTTGGACACTTAGGAGAGAATTAGGTTTAACAAGCCCACCTTGACTTAATGTTTAAAATTATTTTAGCACTTTTAATTAAAATTGAAAAATTCTTATAAAAATAACACTTTTGATTGCATTCTTTGCTAATAGTTAGGGGAGTTTATGATCTTTAGTGAAAATTAATAATATGTTCAAATAATATTTTAAGGATAGATTTGATTGATTGAACATTGTTAATTTTCGAAATATGAGTTACCAATACCACTAGAGCTAATTAATTTAGCATTCTAAGTGTTTAAAAACAAATTTTGACATTTTTGTGCAAAGTGTATCGATAATTAGGTATCGATACATCCTCTCTATGTATCATTACACTATGAATGTGTACCAATACATTCATTGAATGTGTATCGATACACTCCTCGGTGTACCGATATACCCGTCAGGTTTTGGGTTTAAATCCATAAAAATAACATTTTTATCAAAATCCCTAATACCAAAACACTCCGCCGTTTCGCCCCTCTCCACACCAAATCTCCATTTTGCTCAAAATCGACGTTTTTAAATCGGATTCCACTCATTCTTCAACTTCTAATTCTATAATCAACAAATTCGTTCAAACAACATCACTTCTCACTCAAATCCAATTTTTCAAGGTAATTTTTCTAAAACCACTATTTTATTGATTTTGAACATATAACTAGTTTTAGTTAGTTATAGTTCGAAATAGATATCGAGCATTGATTATATTATGCAACAACTAATTTCATCAAAAACACAATTTTTTAAAATTTTCGAAATAAAAAATGATTTTATTTTAAATTGTTGTTTTTGGTTTAATTATGTTGTTTTCATGAAAGCTATATGTATTATGATTTTTCAAACATTGTTTTCAAAATAGTTTTCAAATTTTCCCATTAGGATATTATTTTAGAGAACCTTGAATATTGCAAACTCATATTGAGTTTTGGGATTGATTGTGTTGCATACATGTATTTTCAAATTGCAGGTATCCTTATCCATTCCGATTTATAATCATGTCTAAACGCACTAGGTCTTCGTCTAGTCGATCAAACTACTAACCACAAAACCGACCTCCTATTCCACCTCCAAATCCAAACCCAAACCAACCAGAAATGACTATCATAAATTCTTGTTTTAACGAACATGGCCATCGAGAAAATCTCTACCATAGGTTTGTTAACCTTTTCGAATTATATAATATCCGGGAAGAGCGTATCCCCTCTATCCAAGCCATGGGCGATATCAATTTTGAATATCTTCCTACCCTCCGATCTTGGAAATTTGATAAACTTTTTCAGCTTAAACCTATCGTTTATCACCAACTCGTCCACATTTTCTATTCCAATGCGGTTTGTGTCCAAAACAAGTCTCAAACTGCCACTGTCAATATTCGATCTTATCTTTTAGGCCAATACATTCATATTGACTCCGACTCAATCGCTAGGACATTTGGTTTAGATAACGAGGGTTTAGATAACGAAAAAGAAATTATGGCTACCCGTTATAGAGCTAAGGCTAGTGCAAGTACCTTATTAACTCATCACGAGCATTTTCTTCATTTGATCATCTCTTGGTGGTTTAGATCATCCGGAGGTAGATATTCCACCCTTAAAGCTCTAGATTTATGGTGGATACATTGTATCCAACATAATAAGAAAATAAATTTGCCACAAATCATTTTTGCTGAGCTAGTAGAAATCATAAACAATGTCCTGTCAAAATATATAGAAACCTTAGTTTACAGATGTATTCTTAGTAATTTTTTTATCAAATCTAAGCTTAGGGTCCAGCTTGATGTAGCCATCCCTCTTTAGAGCCAAATAAATCTCAAAACCTTACGTAAATTAAAATGGTATGGGGAAAAGGATCAATGAGTTCGATCAATCCAGAAAACACCGGGTACTAGTTCTTCACGAGTTGTACCAGAGCAGGCTGTTGATGATGATCCAGAGCTTGAAGAACTTATGTGAGATATCGATGATCATGTCCCCGAGGACGAGCCGATCCATCAAGAGACTCAAATACCTCTATACTTTCGATCGTTCATGGAGACATTTGATTTGAGGTTTACATCCATAGTGTCCCAATTAACTGCTATGGGGGCTCAATAATTAGAGATTCAACGGGAGATGCGTGCTAACAACGAAGCTATTAATGAAAGACTACATGCACTTACACTCGATATGGCTGCTATGCGAGCACATTTTCCTCCTCCCGACCCACCAATGGATGACTAAACCCTTCCTTGCTTAGTTTTCTTGGTTGAATGTTGAACTTAGAACTTATTGTTAAAACATTTTGAATGTTTTGGATTTATGTGTTTTTGGATGTTTGGATTTATATATTTGGATTTAATTTTGGTTTGAATATTGAATGTTTATTGAATTTTTATGTTAGTATTTGCATCATTTACATTTTAGACAAATTATGACCAATTACCATTTCACATTTGTATATGAATATTAATTATTGACTAATGGCTAATCTTTCTCTTGACAGTGATCTTAGCAGCTTAAGCTATATCTATATAAATCAATTAGCTATTTTCTTAGAAACCTTGTTTAAACATTTTATAGAGTCTTTTTGATTTAACAAAAAAAGGGAGAATAAAGTAAGGGGAGTAATTTTTCAAAATTGATTTCAAAAATTATTTTCTACAAGAAAATCTTAAAATTACTAAAATGTTTTGTTATATCAAAAAGGGGGAGATTGTTGAAAACATTTTGATGTTTCTATATAACAAATAAAGTGTAAATGAATTTTAAGATTTTATATTCGATTTCAAAATTATATATATATTCGATTAAATTATTCGAATATCAAAAATATTACTCCAAGTTTTTAAATATCAATTTTAATCCTTACTTAAGTGTAAAATTGTGATTTACTCTTAAAATATTTTTGAAACAATTTTTACAAATTATTTCGAACCATAATCGAGCAAAAAATCAGTTTTATAAAGGGATGTACCGATACACTCCTGTATGTACCGATACACCCATATTTTGAATGTGATATGGGTACCAATACACCTAGGGTGTACTGATACACTTGGTAAAATAACGATCGAAATATTTGAATTTTACACTGAGTGTACCGATACACCTACGCTCCTAACATATTTTTTTAAATGGTATTCACACCACAACGGCTCTATTGACTTCACCAATGATCCCAAACGTTCAGAATCAGTTCAAGGTGTATTTAAACAAGTTCTGAAGCCATTGATCAACAACAATTAAGAAGAGAAGCTAGAGAATCAAAGAGAAAGCATCAAACCTCAAGTTTGAGCATTTCAAGCCTATTTTCATTCAATATTCATTTTGCTTTCAAGAACACCATTTTTACTCAATTGTATTCATTCTTGAGTGTTCTTTCTTTGTTCTAGAATTGTACGAAATTTTTAATTTTCTCTTTGGGAGAAAGTGTTCTCAAGAATTTGGGGTATAATTCTTGAGGGAGTTGTAAGGTTACTCTTTGTCCTCAAAAGAAAGACAAATTAGTGAATTTGTTGAAAATCCTTAGTGTGAATAGCTAAGGTAGTGGACGTAGACTTTGGTTGAGAAAGTCGAACCACTCTAAATCGATGTGCAAATATTTTCAATTTTTTGCAAAACTTCCACCAAAATATTTTTATTGCCAATTCACCCCCTCTTGTCCGATTCATCGATCGATTAACTCAAAAGATGTTATATAGCATCTGTCAAATTCTCACTAAGTTGCTGAATGATCTCCTGGTCAGAAAACCATTGAGTAGATCATGGAGGGGGAACTCGGTGTCACATAGCATCGGTATAATTCCAGCTCAACTGAAGCATTGGCTTGGTCTCACATAGTCGTCAAGCCAAGCTTTAAGGATATCTGTTATACTAAAATGATGCAACTATACATGCATATCTAAAGGCCCAAAGGCCACACAACACTGACCTCGCTAACCTACTCCTCGTGAGTGTTCGAGCCTCGCGCCCTAATTAGCCACTGAAGTGCCTTAAGCACTGAATGCAAGACCCTAAACCTAATTGGGCCTAAAGTGCCACATTGGGCTACCGAGGCAACCCTTGATTTTTGAAACCTGTTCATTTTCATTTTAAAAATTCTGAATGATATCATAATTAAAACATAAACAACTGTTATAAAAATAATTTATAAAACCATAGCTCCGTGACACATAATTTAAAACCAAAATAATACAAACTATGAGTTTAATAAATTGAATATATGAGTAAGGTTCTATGAATACATATGCCCACTAAACTATGGTACAATACTTTGAAGATGTAATACCCCAAACATCGAGTCAATGACTAAAGTGTAAGAGTTTAAAATTTAGCGATCAAATTTTGATAAATTGAAAAGTTCAAGGACTTATTTGGAGATTTTTTTCTATGACCTATTTTCAAAGATTGAAGAATGGGAGGAAAAAATGGTCTTTTAGCATGAAATGAATTTAAAATTTATTTTTAAGGGTTATTTAAGCATGTGAGGAATAAGAAAATAAGGAAACATCTGGAAGTCTTGGTCAACTTCTCTTCTTTTTCTCTTCCACCGTAAACTTCCATTGTCAAGGTGAGTTATTTTAAAGTTGGTTATTCTTTCATTTTTTGGTTGGTTTTGAATAATTAGTTGGTATAGGAGCTTAAGAAAAGCTTAAGGATGAATAGAAACTAAGAGTTTGGTGAATTATTGATAAATTGGTTAAATGTGTTTTTAAGGGATTTGATGAGATTGATTAATATTTGGATTTTTAATGATATATTTGACTTGTCAAAGGTCTAATTAATGTATTTGAAGTATTAGAAAGGATTGGAAACAAGTTTGAGAAATGGGTATGGTTTTAGCCTTAAGTATTCTATGGAGAAAATTTGGATGTTAATAGGGGATTAATGGATGTAAGTTAGTTGGGATAAATGTTAATGAGTTTAAGGGTTTGATTGGAGTTTAAAGTATGAGATTTAGGTGAAGTTTTGGTAAAATTCGAAGTGAAATAGGTGAATTCTGGGTAAGGGTATCGGTACTGGAAGAACAATATCGATATTATAAGGTTAAATTGAAGGAAAATTGTATGAATTAGATGAAAAATATCGATACTGATTGAATTAGTATCAATACTGATGTGGAGGTATCGATACCAAGAGTAAGATATCGATACTGTAATTAAAGATGAAACTCCAGAATTCTAAAGCGGTATCGATACTGAAGTAGGTATCGATACCATAGAAGAGAAGTATCGGTACTGTGTGTAGAGTACCGATACTATTCAGTCATAAATGTTAAATTAGGTGTTTTTATTTAGTTTATGTAAATGCTAATTGGTTATATATTAATTGAGATTCGATATTTATCTTGGATATGTTAATGTGTAGATTCGATTGAAAGCAAGTGCCAAACAAATTGACGTATAAAGATAGAGTAAAAGTGAAAAAGAGTTTCTTAGGGCTTAAGTGAGGCAAAGGTGAGTGCTACTTACTTATTTATACACGATTGGAGGATGACTTGCGATGAGCCAACCTCAAATATTTTTGAGCAAAATGATTTGAATTATGTTATGGTTTTAGCTAAATCATATTTTAAAAAGTACGGTTTTAATTACATTTTTATAAGTATATATATATATATATTCTATGTGAAATACTATCAGTATATGACTTATGTGAATATTTTATATGGGAAAAAATGATAATTTGAATAATGTTATATGAAACACTATAAGTATATGTTCTATATGAATAAATGATAAATTGAATAATGATATGGGAAATACTATGAGTAAATGTTTTATGTGAATATGTTCTATACGAATATGTTCTATGTGAATAAATGCTAAGTTGAGTAAATGTTATATGAAATGCTATGAGTAATTGTTTTATGTGAATAAATGATAAAGCCCAAAGTATACGTTACTTGAATAATACTATGTGAAATAATTAAATGGTAAAATCCCAAAGTATATGTTATGAGAATTAGACCAAGAGTCGAGGGTTCTACGCGGTCCTTCGGGACAATTCTATGTGGTCATTCGGGACACTTCTACAGTCATTCGAGACAAATATATGTGACACTTCGGTGCATATTCTACATGGCACTTCGGTGCAAATTCGACACGGCAGTTTCAATTGCAATTATAGTGCACAACCTCAATGTACTCACATACCTTAAGTTCTTAGTGATATACGTTGGGCTAATTAAACAAATGAATATAAATTAAACAATGCTTAATAGTATATGTTATTTGTATAAAGTGTGTGGTGTTTTTGTATTTAATGTTTATTTTGAAATAATTACATAAATGTTTTATTATTTTATTATACTCATTATGCCTCACTAAGTCCAAGACTTAGCGTGTGAGTGTTTTCACACGTACGTTTAGAGGAGCAATGAGAGTAAGGAAAGATAGTACATCATAGCTTTGAAGAGTATAAGATCAGAGAAATTTAAATAGTATGTGATTTTGTTATTGGACATTTTATTGGCATGTACCATAAATGTTTAAAGAGTAGATGCTCTAATATGTCTTGTAAATAACTTTATTAAGTTTTGCTTTCATTGTCAAGTGTTAGTCACATTTTAAAAGAGTCAAAGCATTTGAAAAGTCAATGTGACACCTCATATTCATATCTGGGTCGGATACGGGTCGGGGTGTTATAGAAGAAGATGCTGGAAGTCATGCTGCGACAGTGCTCCACGAACTACTCATGCTACTAACTTGCCAATGGAAAACATCCGAAGGTTGAACTTACAAAGCCCAACAGTATAATAGCTAATCTAGAGCAACATAATAATTTCATAAATACAAGCATGCTGAAGAGATGGTACTAAGCAGTAGGTACATGCATGACCTATATCAAGCGTTACCTGCTTAAGGCTTAGTTGCTCTATCTCTAAAGTAGGGGTCTCATGCTTTCCTAAATTCCTACTAAGGGCTTGTCCATGAGTGCACCTCTAAAGGTTCTCTAACATTAATGTTCCTATCTTGTATGCATTATCTAAATGCTATACCGACGCTTCTATGCATTATCCGAATGTAACACTAATTGAGGTAGACATCATGGTGCGACTGAGGGATTTTTCATCTCAGAGCTCACATACCCCTCTAGCCTGCCGATACTAGTATCTCGAAGCTCACACACCCCTCTAGCCTGTCAGTATACCCTTGGGTACTTTGGGGTGAGATATGACACTGCATCAAAAAATACACCCGACCAACTTACTCCGTCGAGTCTTGGGGCATCTGCGCACAGCTGACAAAAGAAGTGCCTTGATACTGACTGTTATATACATGGACATACTAAAAAACAAGATAACTGCCCTACTGCTAAAGTAACTCAGGTGCCTTGTCTATTTCCTGAGTGTCACACAAAGGCTAATTTTATGACATCCTAGTTGTTATTGTTTCTAGCTGTTACTGTATTATTAAGTGGTTGTGGTTCTAGTTGGCCTGATATTTGACTCGGGTTCATTTATGGGTAGCGATACTCTATTCGCTATTACTATGTTTTTCCTTAATCCACCCTCAAATTAAAGGAATAACTAAACACACAACACTCTTGGTCTTTCTTGCGATAAACGACTCAATAGTTTCATAATCTGATTATTCGATCATATTGCTTGCTGGTGCTCACTGAGCAATAATCTTTCATTCTTATCTATATGTTATGTGTTTAATTGAAAATACTTGGTTGTGTTATGTCTACTATGGTTACACTGGTTGTAATCCACTCCTAGGAGTATCACTGGGCCCTTTGGCCATTTACGTCCCTCACGGTTTAAGTCTTGTCCTTATGAACCATCCCTAGCTCTTACGGACCTTAAACATGTCAAATTTGATCATAAAAAGTGGGTAGGATCGATACTCTAGTTGTAGTATCAATACCATAAGGTCAAGTATTGATACCTCTATGAGTATCGGTACCAAAAATGCATTCTATTTTGAGAAAGGGGCCTCAGTATCAATACTGTTACCCTGAGTACCGATACTGAAAGGGAAATATGGATACTCACCTTGGCAGTATTGATACTTTCTTCTGAAATCCCTAATTTTAGACCCAATTCAACAATATCAATATTGTTCATCCCAATATAGATACTCGAACCCTAAAATGGTTTATTTAGGCTCAATAATCACCCAAAAATCATTCTAAATAACTTGGTTTATTTTTTAATCTTGTTTTGAAGTTTTATTAAGTTGTTTAAGGTCTTAAGGTGTCTTAAAAACACATTATTAACACCTAAAACTTGGTTTGATGATGAAATCAAAGGTAAACCCTAAACATGATCAAATATCCATACCCTAGGAATTTCTTAAAATTTATTAAAAGTTAATACTCGAAAGGATTATAAATACACTACCTTGATTGGATCCCGAAATAAAGCTCCTTTAGATAGATATCATCCTACACCATGACTTGGATGATAAAACCCCCGAACTTTCTCTTGCAAACAAAGAACCCATGGCTTGAATTGATAAATCTATGTTGCTTGAGGGATTAAAAATGAAAATAAAACTTGAAAGAGGTAAAAAAATGGCTCAAAAGACTTACCCTTGGTTTATGGAGCTTGGAGAGAAAAATAGGAGAAACTGGAAATGAAAGAAAAAAGATGAAATGAGTTATAAAAGTTTCCATCTCTTGAAAATGGGCTAATTACTCTACTGGTCCCTCCTCATCTTCCTTCTATGCAAAAATCCCCTCTTTATCGCTAATTAGGCCCAAGCCTAACCCAATTAAGGCCAACAACTTGAATTATAATTTTTGTGAGGTCCACTTACCTCTGGGGTAAACCTGAAACTACTAGTCCAAAATTTGGGGGTTACAACTCTCCCCCTTAAAAGAAATTTCTTTCTCGAAATTTACTTGGTTTGAACGACCTATCCTAAGGTCAAGCACTTAGAAAACTCGAAGTGCTTAAATCTTATCAAAACTAATTCTCAAGGAAGAAGTCTGCATAATCTGACATGTTGCTCGGAACTCACAAAATCGATTTACGATTTTCTGAGGGCGCAACCAACGCTGAACTTTAAGCGAAAACCTTTGAGAAGTATGAAGATAAAGAGTTCACATTCTTACTATATGATATTGTACGTTCAGAAAGTTCCACAAGGATGATGCTACTTCAAAAATCACTGCTATCGCTGAATCCTTATCTGAATAATCTTACTCAATCGAGTTAATTCTCTGCGTAACCTGATAACCTCTTTTACCTGTTGAACATAGGTGACTTGTCGTGCTATACCCTAAAATCTTATGGCACTTGTGAACAATATCTTGATACTGACTACTAATGATATGACGATAAATCTCAACTTCTTAACGTCGACATCTACGCTTCTGCTAGGCAACTCTAATTTAATATTCACCCATGTTACTTGATTGTTTCTCTTTTATCTTGCGACTTACATACACTTTACTCACCTGATCGAGCAACTAAGGTTCTCACTACTGGAAATTAGCCGCTTGTCGAGCGAAACTAGCAACAGTTGGTTCTCCCGGAAATCACACCTCACAAGGCGGAGATCTGTCACAATTGCCCTCTAACTAAGGATATGAGACTATGCGTCTGACACTCACTATAGATTACCACTGCTGAGCTATTCGATGATCACTAGCGCTAATAAAAAGTAGGTAACGTACTTGGTCTCCTTAAGTCTGAAGTACTAAAATTCTCGATACTACACAATGCTGACTACTTTTATGTGTTGTATATAGCTCGCGCACATATACCAACTTGAAGACACCATTGGCGAGGCTTGGCTGATGTAGTTGATTCATTTACTGTTCATACAAAATGACGTTTGAGGGTTCACTGCATCTCGAGACTCATAACTCACTATAACACCTATAGTATCTTTAGAATATGGGGTGAAATTCTGAAACTACTGCATCTCGACGCTTGGCTCACTTAGCTGATTCATTTAAAATATTTATGCTAAATTAAAATAATGTTGCAATACTTTTTTTTCATACAAATAAAGTTAACATTTTGAAGATTATTGAGAATCAAACCGTGGAGTTGAACCAAAAAAGTTTATGTTTCCCCGTACAAAGAAAACGTTATCCGTATGGAAAGAAAGATTCGTAATGGTGCTCTTTCTTTCTCCATTTCAATAATGAAGAAGGCTTCGATTGTATTCATTTATGACCTAATCGAAAATTTATAAACTCCATCTAACTTTCCATCAAAAAGGAAAACCATTTTTTTCTTGCCGACCAAACGCCACGTACATTCCTTAAGAACCCTACAAAACCAGTGCCTATTGAGGATTCAAAACATAATATAATCTCAACAAACATCCTCAAGTACTATATAGTTTACCCTTTCACTTTAAAATCTTAGCTTCCATTTCTTATACTCTTACTAGCTATCTTTAGGCATTGTTTTCCACAGTATCAAATGGAGAGAGTGACAAAGTTAGCGTCCGAGAAGCCGGTTGTGATTTTTATCAAGAGTTCGTGTTGCATGTCCCACACTATCAAAACCCTTTTTTACGACTTCGAGGTTGATCCTACGGTTCACGAGTTCAATGAGATCCCTAGAGGACGTGAAATCAAACAAGCTCTCTCGAGACTCGGTTGCAATCCTTCCATTCCAGCCGTCTTCATCGGTGTTGAACTTCTTGGTGGAGCCAATGAAGTCACGAGTCTTCATCTTAACAGATCCTTTGTCCCAATGCTTAAATGAGTCGGTGCCTTTTGGGTTTAACCCTAAACTCCTCTAACTTGCATGATGAGGCACTAATAAAAATGTGATCCCACTAATAAAATATGTATCGAGTCTACTTTATATGATCCTAATTGAGGAAACTTCCTAGTGGGTGTATATTATCTTTTTGGTTATGTACTAACAATGGTTTTTGAGTAAAGTTATGAAGTTTATAATCCTACTAACTAAGCATACTTATTGCTTTAAGTAATTTACTACTGTTGAGGAATCTGAGAGGTGGCCTCTGAGGCCTTCAACATGACCATATGAAAAAATCAATGTCTATTTTAGTGGAATTTGATCCAGTTATTCTATTTATGAGGATATGATCTTTCTAGTGAGGATGTAATCTAGACAATTGGGATTGGAAGGTGATTTTTGGGGTAAATGTCGATTTAATCTTAATTATTTAAATGGAACACACTGCACATATTAATATGTCAAAAATTAATTGGATTGAATTTTATTTGTGCAACAATAAACATGAAGAAGGGTAAAAGGAAACTAAAAAAGAGAATATTTAATAAAAAAATATCCAAATAAAAATATCACAGCCTTAAACCTTAAAAAAAACACCCTAGCCTAACAAAAGTATAATTGAAAGAGGGTCTAAATATTCAGGCTGCTCCACGAGGTTGATTAGAGAGCTGAAGCTCTGACGGCTTCTTCACTTGCTCTGTAGCTTTATCGTTTCCATTGAAGTAAAAGTAAGCATATAAACCCAATTGAATTGCCCCTAAGATGGATCCTAGCCCATTAGAAACCTGCAAAATATAGTTATTATTATAATAATTGTTAGAAAGTAACTACATGCATAATAATCGATTAATAAAATAGATACCAAGATTTAATGTGAAAAACTATATCAAAAAAATCACGGGAAAAATAGAAAAAAATCATTAACGTCGAAAAAAGAAGAATATAATTAAGAGGAGTCTTCATGGACAACCTAATATATAACTCTAATTCTAAATATCTATTAGTAGGATAGTTATTTGATTATAAATAAAACTTGCATAGAAAGATATCAACTCAAATTGAGTTTCTTACTATTAATCAACATTAAAAGTAGTTATATTTCCTACTCAAAATCAAACTAGATTTTTTAGTTTCATCAATTCTCTTAATTTATATTTTTATTAATTGAGTTAAATCGAATTTAGATCAAATCTAACAATAATAATGAAAAAAATGATAATACCATCAATTTAAATTAAGTTATTTTTTTTACCAGGATGAAGATTTCAAACTGGATGAGTGCATAAATGGTCCAACAGACGCCATTAGACAAGCCAGCAAGTGAGAGCCAAAAAGGCATGTACTCCACACTTCTTGTGTCGAAAACCTTTTTCCATATGGCCAAAGGTAAAGCGTACATGATAACGTTGAAAACATCTGCTATTATTCCCTCGAATAGAACTCTATGACTGTGCAGGCAAAGCATAGCCACGGCCACAAGGATAGCTGTCAAAACTGTTTCACAGAGGAGGGTACAGCCAACAAGAACCTACACAATTTATTCAAACACAATTTAAGTCACCATAGGCATCCAATCAGTTACTTCAAAGCCATGCAATAACAATAATTTAAATGTAGTTAATTGAAAAGAAGAGTTGTAGGAGATAAAACTCTTGATTGTTTCAGATGATGTATGCGATGAGAATTAGACTCATTTTCCAACAAGGACTCAAGGAAACCATAATTATAATTCGCAACTAGAGTCCTAATGGTTAATATACACAACGAGAACATCATGTGTTAATGAACGAAAATATTATGCATTAATTATCCTTTTATTCTTGGATATTAGTTGCTCTATAATTCAAACATTTCATTTTTAGTGTGAATCGCTTATTTAAAATGTGTAGACATAAACGGTTAATACACATAAAAATATTTTCTCTACTTTCAAACATTTTCGGTGATAGGAAAATGAGATGTCACTGTTCATTGATCATTGTAGTTGTGTTACTACTTTGCTCATATTATTGTTGTATCCAGTGAGATGATCGACCGACGTTTCTCCAACAATGTAGTAGCATACGAACACTTTCATCTGACTTCATGACTATTATCGAGTAAACAATTTTTTATTTTATCTTTATTTTTTTCTGTTCTATTTAGTCATAATTTAGTTTCGATTAATTTTATTATTTATTTTCTGGGATCTTAACGCTTTATCTAACGGATATTAAGGATTTAACTCCTCTGATAAACCAAATAGTAGTTGGTCATTAACATAATCTTTTACGTCAAACTATTGTATTTGCATGATCAAAAAAGCTTGGTGCAAGTTGAAACTTGTAAAAGTAGTACTTGCAAATTATAAATTGCGAAATTATGCATATGGGCATCTTAAAAGTATAAAATGGCATTGACAGTCTCTTAAGCTGGAGCAGCTCACTCATTTCTAGGAATGCACTTTAGTTTCATGACTTGTTTCTTGGTTGAAAGCTTTTGGTTTAATCTGTGGTTCTATCTTTCTCAATGTTATTCCGCTGCCATCCATCTCGTTCTTGATTATGTAGAATGTGTTCCTAATTAAAGATCGTAGAACATTTAACTTTCCAAAAAAAAAAAACTCAAGGGTACCTATCTCCCGTCGCCCCACTCGGTCCGTCCCTATCTATATATACCACTGCCTGTTGAGCACATTCAAAGCACCTCACAATCTCAACAAACAACCTCAAGTACTATAACAGTAACCCTTTCACTTGCAAAACCCTAGCTTATCTTTTGGCATTTGATTTCCACATTGTAACTGTTGAATAAACTTAAATGTGGTTTTTATTATTTTTCTTTAAGTTTAGAAGTTAATGGGAAAATAAAAGGTCTAGAGTTTTAGTAGGTGAAAGGCCAAAGGGTGATATAGGAGTTAATTGTCTTTTATGAGTTTTAATAGAATTTATTTTTTGTTTTTGGTAGAGTAGTACCTAGTGCCTATATAAAGGACCTTGTTGATTTCATTTATATACAACTCAAAGAAATACAAAATCACTTGGAAAATAGTATTGTAGTTGTGGTTTAAATTGTTTTCTATTTTACAAATTGGCATCAGAGTCAATGGCAAATGTGACGGGTCAAATGCCGCTACCACGACTAACGAAGGCGAACTATGAGAACTGGAGCATTCAAATGAAAGCTATTCTCGGATCTCAAGATGCATGGGAGGTGGTCGAAGAAGGTTTCAAAGAACCAACAACAACCACGAGATATACGGCGGCTCAAACCAAGGCGTTGAAAGAGGCGCGATCGAAGGATAAGGCGACACTATATATGTTATTCAGAGACGTTGACGAGTCGGGTTTTGAGAAGATTGCTGGTGCAACTACTTCAAAAGAAGCATGGGACATTTTAGGAAAAATGTTCAAAGGAGCCGACCGAGTCAAGCAAGTGCGTCTCCAAACTCTTCGTGGCGAGTTGGAAAGCATGAAGATGAAGGAGTCAGAAAGTGTATCCGACTACATCACGCATGTACAAACTATGGTGAACCAACTCATTCGTAATGCCGAAGCGTTAATCGATGCACGAGTTGTGGAGAAGATTTTGAGATCATTAACTGACAATTTTGAGAATGTTGTGTGCGCGATAGAAGAGTTAAAAGACCTTGCGACGCTCACAGTCAACGAGCTCGTCGGTTCTCTTGAGGCACACGAACAACGTAAAAAGAAAAAGAAGGAGGAGACACTTGAGCAAGCACTTCAAACCATGACGTCAATCAAAGACAAAAAGGTACTCTATTCTCAAAATTTTTGAGGTAAAGGTTGTAGCCGTAGAGGTCGTGGATATGGTCGCGGTGGTCAAGGCGATAATCATGAAGGGTACTATAAGGAGAATGGACAGTCAAGCCAACCAAATTAGCGTGGAAGAGGACGCGGTCGAGGAAGAGGCGGCCAATCAAACTATTCCAACATCGAGTGCTACAAGTGTTACAAGTATGGCCACTATGCAAAAGATTGCAACTCTGACAAATGTTATAACTGTGGTAAAGTGGGGCATTTTGAAAAAGATTGTCGAGCCGATAAAAAGGTGGAAGAAACAACCAACCTAGCATTGGAAGACGAAGCGACTGGAACAATTCGGCAGAGGCTATCATCGAAGTTGGAGAATCATCAGTCGTTGCACCAACAAGCATACCAACAAACTCTGAAAATACCATGATGAAGATGAACCACGACAACCTAGAATACGAAGTTTACAAGATTTGTATGATTCGACAAATGAAGTACACCATGTATGTCTTTTGGCATATGCTGAAAATATCAGCTTTGAAGAGGCATTGCGAGACAAGAAGTGGCAAACTGCAATGAATGAGAAGATTGAAGCGATTGACCGCAACAACACATGGGAACTAGCAAAATTGCCGAAAGAAAGTCAACCTATTGGTGTGAAGTGGGTGTTCAAGAAAAAGATGAATGCTCAAGGTGAGATAGAACGGTACAAAGCGAGATTGGTTGCGAAGGGATACAAGCAAAAGGCAGGAATCGACTATGACGAGGTGTTTTCTCCTGTTGCAAGAATGGAGACAATTCGATTACTCATTTCACAAGCTGCTCAATTCAAATGGCCGATATTTCAAATGAATGTCAAGTCGTCATTCTTGAATGGTGTGCTCGAAGAAGATATCTACATCGAACAACCACCCGGGTACGTAAAAGTCAGAGAAGAGAAGAAGGTGTTAAAATTGAAGAAGGCTCTTTACGGGTTGAAGCAAGCACCACGGGCATGTAATCACATATCGATACATATTTCAAGGAGAATGGGTTCAAGCAATGTCCCTACGAGCATGCCCTTTACACAAAGAAGAATGGAGGTAAAGTGTTATTTGTTGCTCTTTATGTTGATGATCTCATTTTTATCGGTAATAATGATGAGATGATATAAGAGTTTGAGGGCACAATGACAAGGGAATTTGAGATGATTGATTTGGGCTTAATGAAGTTTTTTCTTGGTTTGGAGGTTAGACAAGTAGAGATAGGTATTTTTGTAGCACAGGAGTCATATGCAAAAGAGATTTTGAAGAAATACAATACGGAAAATTGCAACCCAATATTAACACCAATGGAACCAGGAGCAAAATTATCAAAGTTCGATGGAGGGGAACGTGTCGATGCGAGTAGATACCGGAGTTTGGTAGGAAGCCTTCGATATCTCACATGCACAAGGCCGAATCTTTCTCTAAGTGTCAGCATTGTAGGTCGGTTCATAGAGTAGCCAGTTTATTCACATTGGAAGGCGTTAAAACGTATCCTACGATACATCCAAGGAACGGTGTCACTTGGGTTGTTCTACTCGAAAGCAGAAGATTAAAAATTGGTTAGGTACTCCAACAGCGATTGGTGTGGAGACATAGACGATCGGAAAAGCACAACATGATATGTGTTTTTTATGGGAGATACTGCGTTTACTTGGCTTTCAAAGAAGCAACCGATCGTGACGCTCTCGATGTGTGAAGCTGAATATGTGGCAGCATCTTGGAGTATATGTCATACGATATGGCTTAGAAATTTGTTGAGTAAATGGAGCTAAAGCAACTAGGTGCAACCGTGATTCATGTTGACAACAAATCAACAATTGAGTTGGAAAAGAACCCAGTGAACCAGGAAAGAAGCAAATACACCGATGTTCGTTTTCACATTATCCGAGATCATGTGAAGCAAGGAAGTGTAGAATTGGAGCATGTGGCAAGTCAGGATCAAGTTGCGGATATCTTCACAAAACCGCTACCGAAAGTACTTCTTGACAAATGCAAGAAGATGATTGGCATGATGGATGGTAGAAACGTTTAAGTTTAAGGGGGAGTTTTGTTGAACAAACTTAAATGTGGTTTTTATTATTTTTCTTTAAGTTTAGAAGTTAATGGGAAACTAAAAGGTCTAGAGTTTTAGTAGGTGAAAGGCCAAAGGGTGATATAGGAGTTAATTCTCTTTTATGAGTTTTAATAGAATTTATTTTTTGTTTTTGGTAGAGTAGTACCTAGTGCCTATATAAAGGACCTTGTTGATTTCATTTATATACAACTCAAAGAAATACAAAATCACTTGGAAAATAATATTGTAGTTGTGGGTTAATTTGTTTTCTATTTTACAGTAACATGGAGAGAGTGAAAAAGTTGGCATCCGAGAAGCCGGTGATGATCTTTGGCAATTGTTTGTGTTGCATGTCCCACACCATCAAAACCCTTTTCTACAACTTCAGAGTCGACCCCGCGATTCACGAGCTCGATGAGATCCCTAAAGGACATGAATTCGACAAGCTCTCTCGAGACTCGGTTGCAATCCTTCAGTTCCGGCAGTCTTCATTCGCAGTGAACTTGTTGGTGGAGCTAACCAGATCATGAGTCTTCATCTGAATCGATCCTTAATCCCAATGCTTAAACAAGTAGGAGCCCTTTGGGTTTAATATATAAACGGTCACTTAACCTTTCCTAGTGAAGTACTAATTATAGTTTTTGAGTAACAAAAGTTTCGAATGGCACTAATACATTATATTATTTTATTTTTTATTTAAAATAAGGGGAAAAACACATCTTAATTTGTTGAGATTTAATAATTTCCGAAATGAATTTAAAAACAACATTGTCTTTTATATCAAACTTGCATTTGCACGTACGACATAAAACTTGGTCAATTTTTGAACAAGAAAAAGGATCCTTGGTTAATAGGAAAGCTGTAGGACCGATTTCTCTGTTCATGTATGCATGTTTTAAAATTTATGTTTGATGACCATGATTTTTTTCCGTTTTCAGAATTAAGTTATGGGTAGGGTAGCCTTCTCACAATTTTTTGGTTTTAATTACATGTAGGTCACCCCTAGTTTTAATTTAAAACTTTTTTTTATTAAGCTAAGATGTTTACAAAGTAGTTTATGTTCTAAATATTTTCAATCATTTAACAATGAACACTCAATCACCCTACTGCAACCGCTGATGCTCGAACCCATGACCCTTAAGAACAACAATAATTCCTTTAACTACTAAGTAAGTTGATTCGTGCTTAATTTAAAACTTGATAAATTAAATCAAGGTCATTCTCATTTTTTTATTTAAATACCTTTTAAGTTTCTATCAAATTTAAAATTAGTAAAAAATTAGCCCTTCATTTTTCTATTCAAATACTTCGTGGGTTCTTGTAAATTTTAAAATTGAATAAAATAATCTTTGACCTTTTTTAAATATTTCATAAACCTTTTGTCAGTTTTGAAATTAAACAAATTAAACCTTGATTATTTAATTCTTAGATTTTGTCGAAACGATTTTTCCTTAAGAAGCGTGAGATTTTGAAAACCACACCATTTTTAATTTATTTCATTTGGTTAATTTTTAATTAAAAACAATGCGATTTAAAAAATATATCGTTTCGAAAATTTGGAAATTATTTTACGATAAAAAACATATGGTTCGAGGAGTCGCCACCAATCTTTGATTAGGGTGTGATTGGACACCCAAAAACATTTTGTCATTTTAAATAAAAAATTAATTTTAATTAAAACGACAAGTTGAGGGTTGCGCTACCAAAAATGAGTTCGGGAGTCGGTTACGCGTGGGAAAGGATTAGCACCCTCACAACGCCCTAAATCGGTGCTTAGTCGATTAATTAATGTCTTTGTAATGAAATTTATAAATTCGAGTTTAATTTGATTTTTGAACCCGTATAACAACAAAAATGTAAATTTTATAATATTCAAAAGCACCAAAATAGATTAAATTAAAATTACCAAGCCTTATTAGAAAGATGAAGAATATTCAATTATTTAAAAATATCGAGACCAGATCTTAGATAAGTTATAACGATCTTTTCTCGAAAAAATTAAATAATTGAATATTTTTTTTCTTTCATTCTCAAGTTTTAAGGTGACGAATCATTTTTAAGTGTCAATAATGAGATACACTTTTAATTTAAAATCGTCGAAAACGACTTTATAGTGAGTTAAGACAAGTCATTCAAACAATTTTAAATTAAAAGAGTATTACCTTTAATCTAATTATGTAATTAGGTCAAGTTATGCACGTGAGATATCATACATATCGAATAAATATATGACTAAACTTATATGCAAACAAACATACAAAAAGAAATGAATTTGTACGTATACTAAGTTATAACCAATTATTAATATATACATATATATTACGTTAACATGAAAGGAAAGAAATGGGAAACATTATGATGGCACACATGCCAAAATTAAATCCTTTAATAAAGGGTTGCATAAAGCATGCATGTCATATCTCATTAAAAAAACGAATATATATATATATATATATATATATATATTATTATTAACATGGAAAGAAAAACAGTTAGTAACATTACGGGGTCAATATATATATATATATATATTTAATTCCTTAATAAGGCTATGCAAAACATTCATACCATATTTCTATTGCAAAAGGATATGTATATATTTCGTACAGAAAAACACGGAAACCTGACATATATCCATGTCTATATATACTAGGGTTGTAAAAAGTTGACCGACATATAAAACTGTCTTGTTTTTAACATGTGCTGTAGTGATCTGAAACCGAATCGAGTCGGAACTGGTGTTTACCTGAATCCGAGTTGGACTTGAAAATTGTGGATTCGAACCCGACCTGCATCCGACTTGAGAACGACCTGAACCCTAATTGAACAAAAAAATGATATCTGAAACCGACCTGTATCTGACTGATATGAACCCGAAACTGAGATTGACCTGGTAAATAACTAGTATTACCTGACTTGTTTTCTACCTGACCTGTTTTCAACTAACCTGTTTTCAACCTGACTTGTAAATGATCAGACTTGTTAATGACCTGATCTAATATTTACATGACTTATATATTACCATGGACGAAATTATAAGATTTTAATAAAATTATGAGTTTTTTAGGTTATGATGTAATTAAAAAATTAATATGAGTACTTTTTAAATGTTATAATAAAATATTTATCATTATATTAAATTAATAAATGGACATATTATATAAAATTATTTAATAAAATTAATAAAATTATTTAAATATAAATTAGATAAAACATGATTAATAATGCAAAGGAAAATTAATATAGTTTAATTTATATAAATTAAACTAATTTATATAAATTATATAGTTTAATTTATATAAAGAAATAATAATAATAATAATTAAAGTACTTATTATGTAATATATATTAACGTTTTAAATAAGCACACTCTTTTATTACAAATATATATGCATTAGTGCTAGTCCATTTATATTAGGGTTTGTGGTTTAGGGTTTAGGGTTTAATGTTTATGGTTCAAAGTTTAGGGTTTAGGGTTTTTATAAACTATATACTTTATTACTTTATATAGTTTGTGTATAGTGTTTCTATAAACTATATAAGTAATTTACTTTATATAATATATATATATAGTTTATATATACTATACATGGTTTATACATACACATTATATAAAATTATTTAATAAAATTAATAAAATTATTTAAATGTAAATTATATAAAACATGATTAATTAGGTGTTAAATAATTAGTATGTCACATTGCATATTATATGGTTCATAAATAGTAGTACATGTCATATTAATTTCATTTGCATAATTAGTATTTTAGTTACATGTTAGGTTAATTCACATTAATAGTCCATTTATTTTGTTATTATGAATAAGTAATAATAAAACCTAAAAATAAGTCTATTTGCATTAATGCTAGTCCATTTACATTAGTTTACATAGGCCCAATACATAAGCCCACTCTTTTATTACAAATATATATGCATTAGTGCTAGTTTATTTATATTAGGGTTTATGGTTTAGTGTATAGTATTTATAGTTTACAGTTTAAGGTTTATGATTTATGATTTAGGGTTTAATGTTTCTATAAACTATATACTTTATTACTTTATATAGTTTATGCATAATATTTCTATAAACTATATAAGTAATTTACTTTATATAGTTTATATATATATATACACTATATATGGTTTATACATACATATTATATAAAATTATTTAATAAAATTAATAAAATTATTTAAATGTAAATTATATAAAACATGATTAATTAGGTGTTAAATAATTAGTATGTCACATTGCATATTATATGGTTCATAAATAGTAGTACATGTCATATTAATTTCATTTGCATAATTAGTAGTTTAGTTGCATGTTAGATTAATTCATATTAATAGCCCATTTATTTTGTTGTTATGAATAAGTAATAATAAACCCAAAAAATAAGTCCATTTATATTAGTTCTAGTGCATTTGCATTAGATTACATAGGCCTAATATATAACTCCACTCTTTTATTACAAATATATATGCATTAGTACTAGTCCATTTATATTAGGGTTTGTGATTTAGGGTTTAGGGTTTAGTATTTATGGTTTAAGGTTTAGGGTTTCTATAATCTATATACTTTATTACTTTATATAGTTTATGTATAGTGTTTCTATAAACTAAGTAATTTACTTTATATAGTTTATATATATATAGTTTATAGTGTTTCTAATTAAAGATCGTAGAACATTTAACTTTCTAAAAAAAAAAATTCAAGGGTAACTGTCTCCCGTCCCCCCACTCGGTCCGTCCCTATATATATATATACCACTGCCTGGTGAGCACATTCAAAGCACCTCAAAATCTCAACAAACAATCCCAAGTACTATAATAATAACCCTTTCACTTGCAAAACCCTAGCTTATCTTTTGGCATTCGATTTCCACATTGTAACATGGAGAGAGCGACAAAATTGGCATCCGAGAAGCCGGAGGTGATCTTCAACAATAGTTTGTGTTGCATGTCCCACACCATCAAAACCCTTTTTTACAACTTCGGATTCGACCCCGCGATTCATCCTTCCGTTCTGACAGTCTTCACTGGTGGTGAACTTGTTGGTGGAACTAACCAGATCATGAGTCTTCATCTGAATCGATCCTTAATCCCAATGCTTAAACAAGTAGGAGCCCTTTGGGTTTAATATATAAACGGTCACGTAACCTTTCCTAGTGAAGTACTAATTATGGTTTTTGAGTAACAAAAGTTTCGAATGGCACTAATACATTATGTTATTTTCTTTTTTATTTGAAATAAGGGGAAAAAACACATCTTAATTTGTTGAGATTTAATAATTACCGAAATGAATTTAAAAACAACATTGTCTTTTATACCAAACTTGCATTTGCACGTACGACATAAAACTTGGTCAATTTTTGAACAAAAAAATCTGTTCTAAATACTCTCAACCATTTGACAATGAACACTCAATCACCATGCTGCAGCCGCTGGTGCTCAAACCCATAACCCCTAAGAACAACAACAATTTCTTTAACCACTAAGGTAAGTTGGTTCGTGCTTAATTTAAAACTTGATAAATTAAATCATGGTCATTCTCATTTTTTTTATTTAAATACCTTTTAAGTTTATATCAAATTTAAAATTAGTAAAAAATTAGCCCTTCATTTTTCGATTCAAATACTTCGTAGGTTCTTGTAAATTTTAAAATTGAATAAATTAATCTTTGACCTTTTTGAAATATTTCATAAACCTTTTGTCAGTTTTGAAATTAAACAAATTAAACCTTGATTATTTAATTCTTAGATTTTAATAATTTAAAAATTATAATTTCATCCAGATTTTGACTCTGACCATCCTTATAAATAATGTCTTCAAAACTGGAATTGGACTTGTTGTCTATATGATACTTGCAATGCATAAATTGTGAATCATAAAATGCATAAATTAAACAAGATTAAAATGGATTTGGGTTAAAGCCGAAAGCTCATGGATCAATAACACTGACCGTCGGTAACTGTATCTTTTGTGACAATTGACATCACAGCAAGATATTAGATCAATCAACAAGTTGAGTAGATCAGAGAAAACACAACAAATGTCAGATTCCACCAATTTGACCTGTATAGAAGATCAAATTAACTTCACACAAAACTAATTATAAAGGAATTAAATGACAAAAAAGATGTTCTAGAATGGTGGGGGAGAAGAAGAGAAGTTTAGAGATAAAGTTTTAGGAAATTCGAGTCTATATAGAGATGATACTATAATTAATTTCAGGGAGAGAAGAAGTGGTATGGCAAGAAAATAGTAACTAGGGCATGAATCAAATGTCAAAGCCTTAATGTGTCTAAATCTGAAGAAAAGAAAGCAATACGAATCACAGTGTTAGATGGCCCTAAAAAATACTCCTTTAATCATGATGAGCCTATTTTATTGGCCTTTAGACCTATAATAATCAATCACCAATTACCACAAAATACTCAAAGGGTTAAGATAGGAAACAACTTTAATGCACTAGTGAGAACATTATGGGAAATGAACGTATATAAATACTCAGAATCATACCCCTGGGGGCCTTTACCCTATCTCCAAAGATAGAGTTTCCATCCTTTGAAGGACAAAATCTTAAGGGATGGGTGAAAAAGGGTCATAACTACTTTTTCGTTTTTGATATTCTTGAAAATCTTAAGATGGAATTAGCCTAAATTTATTTAGTAAGAAGGTTTGACACATGGTTTGATTGTTATACCAAGTAAAAACACAAGGTTTATTGGCACAAGTTTGCTGCAAATATTTGTCATTAGGACTATAAATGACATGAGACAAATTGTGAGCTATTTGAGATCGACTCGATCAAAGCTCGATCAATTCTAATTGAATGAACTCGACTCGAATTCTTAACGAAGCAACTCGTAAAAAAATATTTTAAAATTTAAAATTAAATTAGTGATAATGTTAACATTTATAAGTTAAAAAAAATACAATATAAGGCTTTAATGTACCTAACATTGAGGTTCGAGCTCGAGTTTGAACTTCAATCGAGCTAAGTTTGATAATGTTTTGAGTTCAAGTTTTTCGAGCTTGAGTCGAGCTTGAAAATTTGAAGTTCACGAGCTTCCGAGTCGATTTGAGCTTCAATTTTTCATTTTGATTCGAATTTGACGATTTTAAACTCATGAGTTTTCGAGTCGAGTCGAGCTCAATTTTAAATTTTTTTAGTCGAGTTGATCTCAACAATACTCGAGCTCGACTCAGCTCGTCTACAGCCCTTTGCCTAGACTTCTGTGACAAGAATTGCACAGATATCATTGAAGAGTTTAACGAATTAGAGCAAAAGAGTTCAGTGGATGAGTATCGGGAACTTAAACCTTATATGTTACAATATAATCCTTACCTAGAAGAGGGTTATTTTGTTTCCAACTTTATGAGTGGTCTGAGCACAAGGTCAAGGTGCATGAACAGCAATCCATGAATGTTGTTTATAGGATTGCTAAACTCTATGAATTAAATTGGTAAATGAAAAAGAAAAGCTCAGACATCAACCTAGAACCACTATGACAACATGTCAAAACCTTACCCTCAAGGCTTCTGCTACAACATTTAACTTATTCCTGAAAGGGAGTCATAGTTCACCCCAAAGTAGGCAGAATTTGATGGAATACATGCAAGCACAAACAATTAAATGCCATGGAGAAAATATAAGAAAAAGAAGAAATTGAAGAAGCAGAAGAGGAACATTGTGAAAAAAGATGAAACATTACCTGCTGAATGGGGGTTGGAGATTTATTTGACATGCAATAATGGATTGAGTACATTCAGGATTCAAGGTTCTATTAAAAGGAAACCCCTTGACTATCCTGATTGACAGTGTTGGTACTCATAGTTTTATCACTGTAGAATTGGAACATACTACACCTTTAAACATTGCAGTGGCCAATGCAGAGAAGCTTTACAGTATGACACAGAGTAAACAACTTAAGTGGGCTATGTAAGGTTTCTAATTTGAGTATGTTTACCCATGGGAGGTAGTGATATTTTCTTAGGAGTGAAGTGGATGAAAAAAATATAATCCATTGGTAATGGATTTCAATGGTATGACCCTAAAAGTTTTAACGAGAAGGTCAAGAGATTAAAAGGGATAAAATTTACCTATATTGAAGTTCATATCAGGTAATAGAATCTAGAAGATAATGGAAAAGGATCATGAGCTATTGGGAGAAATTTTACATGCTAAGTGGCAAAGTATGTGAAACAGTGATACCTAAGAATGTACAAAGGGTGATGTTAAATTATCCCATGGTTTTTGAAGAACTAAAAGGAATGCTCATAAGAAGAAAACATGACCACGCTATCACACTAAAATCAAGAGCAGAAGCAATAAACTTAAATTGGTATAGAAGGCCCTACCACCAGAAAATATCGATAGAAAGATAAGTAGATGAAATGCTTTCCTCGTATATCATACAAACTAGAAAAAAACCTTTTGCTTCACTTTATTGATAGAGAAATCTGGCTTAGTTATCCATCTATGGTCTCCAACCATTTTATTTTTCTTGAAGTACCTGTTGTAATACCTGATTTTCGTCCGGCCTAGTTTTTTTTTTCCAGGGCTCCAGTATTTTATTGAAGCTGATTTTGAAGCATGGGACATCATCCAACTTGAAATAATTTTTCAAGCAATATTCGTGCATTTCCAGGGCATGATGTCTTCTTGATATGTAACGTTCTTTTGATTATCTTTCCAACGCATTTTGAAACACCTCAATCGGACATCGAAAACTCAAGATATGCTTATTTTAGCGAAGACAACGTGTGCACAAAATTGATTACAGACCAATACGAGAATTTTAATTTATTACGAATATTCAATAATTTTATTGAATATTAGTAATGAAATTCACCTTTACACTTTTCATAATGTATTTAGGTTAATTTATGATATTTTTATTAGTTTAGGTTTTTTTTAATTAGTGTATTTAAGCATTAATTAAGAGATGGTAGAGTGTAATCACCATTTTTCAACCATTATTATTATTATTATTATTATTATTATTATCATAAAATATTATTAAATATTTATTGCAAACCCAAAGAACCAAACCCAATATCCAACAACCAAACACATTGCCCAAATACAAACCAAAACCTGAGTCCAATTACAAACCCTAGCCCAAACTAATCTAACCCTAACCCTAATAGTTGTTGCCCAAGTTTACGCCGCCGCCGATTCCAAGAAGCATCTCTACCGACGTCGCCATCCGTTATTCGTAGAGCCAACCATCATCACCTCAACAACAACAAAAGGAAAAATCCATCAAAAATCTCAGCAAACCCCAAAAAATCCGAGGCATTAACAACATAAATAATCACAAATAGTGATGGCAGTAGATTAAGTTTCCTTTTGTAATTTTTTATATTATATCTCTGTAAGTTTCGGGTACAAATCCCTAGAAAAAAATGTAAGGGGACTTTTTCCCCACTGATTTTCGAAGCAATACAAAAAAGAAAAAATATTTGTAGAGGTAAATTTTTTTTTCCGGTTTTTTAGCAAGTTTCGGAAAAAAACAGAAATAGAAGGAAGTCAAAGAGTTACCTGAGAGGGGATTCGAACCGAAGGGTCGATCCGTCTTCGTAGTGGATGGAGAGGGTGAAGCCAAAGAATCAATTTTTTTAAAAGTATTTAGGGGTTGTTTTTGTGGTTGCATGCTTCGATTTTGGGTTTAGAGGTGTAGATCAGAGTGTTTAGACCCTTTCGAATCTTTTAGGGACTCTAACCACCGTGAGCGGTGGCCGACGATTATCTCGACAAGGTTTTGACTATCGACCGATCAAAGGAATAGAGAAAGTTGAGAGAAAAAAGCTTTTTTTTTCTAGTTAGGTTGCAAAATGAAAAAGGGAATATATGGCTTTTATAGTAGAAGTTTAGGGGGAAATCACGTTTAAGTCCCCCTAAAACTTCCATTTTTTGCATTTTGGTCACCTACAAGGACTAAATTCATTATCTCCCATTTTTTCACGAGTGTTATGTATTGATTGGTATAATCACCATTTAGTCCCCTAGTTTTAGAGTGTTTTTGCATTATGGTCACCAGCAGTGACTCTATTTTTTTAAATCTTGTTGTCCTAATTGTGTAATTTTCACATTTGTACTTATTAATGATATTTGGCTTATTAAAAATGGAA